CTTCACCCTTGGAGGAGTTCACCAGATTATAGAGGCAATGAAATCCGGTGACTACCAAAGTGCCTTACAAATCCATGGTCAAACCGTAGCCAAAGGAAACTTTTCAGAGATGTCTCAGTTCATGCCTGCCATCAAGATGCTCCTTCAGACTTGTATGCAGCTTCAAGTATTCCTCTAGAAAGGTTTTGCTGAAGGGAGAATATAAGGTTGTCTTAACTTCCCGGTGATATGAGAAGTCATTTTATTGCAAGAAATTTATTTATTGAAATTTATGGTGAGAAGATGGTTGATGTATTTTTGGCACTTGTTATATAATAACTTTATTATTATTTCTGATGAAATAGCATGGTATTTTTCTTCCTTTATGTTTAGACTAAACCTTCAGCTTGGTTATACATATTGAAAAGTGAAATCAGAAGGTGCTCTTGTGTGTAAGAACAACATGTTTTTGTATTGGTCTGTGTCCATCTGAGATTGATCCTATGGTAATGCAAATCATGACATAATAGGTGTAGGTCGTGATGCAATGTAAACTTAATGGTAAATAGTATGTATGAGATATTGTATTTTTGTTATATTATAGATTAGAATTATGCAACAATAGACTGACATTGCCAAAAAAAAAAAAGAAAAGAAAACTTGATTTCAGTTTCTATATTATAGGTAATAGACGATATGGGAATATTAAACTTCTAAGTGAGAAAAGCATCCATGTTGTAGGCATTCAACTTTGTCGTGAAGGGTTGAAGTTTGCTTTCAGTGGTAAGTTTGATCAACATGAAAAGCTGGTTATGCAGAACAAAGATTATCTGTAAAATTTTGTTAATTATAGGAAGCAGTAGTGCATTTTCATTGTATTTGATGTTATTAATAAGGGTAATATATCAATTTATTTGTTTGTTTTGTTTTGTTATGTGCCATTTTTACTTGGAGAAATATTGTTATCAAGGCATGTTAATGGTCATTTGTTGTAAAACTGAATTCTACATTAGCTACAGATAAAATGATATGAAATATTGTTGTCTCTCTATTTTACCTAGACTTTAAAAAATTGTAGTAAGTCTTAATAATGCTTTGTAGAGTTTTCAAACCATGGCTTCAGGAAATTATAGCGTAAAGTAACCCAGTGATAAAGAAAAAAACAAAAGTGAATAGAAAATAAAAAGTTAATCTTGCTTAGGTTGCAGAGGGGTATTGCTAACTTAACTTCTATAAGATATAACATAACTGCTGTTAGGGAATAATAAGCAAACTTGATAAAATGCAAAACTTAGCATTACAGAAAAATCATGTTGGTGTAAGGTGGTTATAAAAATGAAAAATTATTTAACACCAAAGAATAACTGTCATGAGTTCTAAACCTGGACATTAATATTATGTGAATAAATACAACAAAATATATCATATTTCATTTACATTTATAGAAAGATTGTGAACTATGTATGTATATCATATTGTAATACTTTATAAGGTTAACAGGTGATACAGCAATTGTTACCATCATTACTGTCACTGCCCTACTGATGGATATTGCAATTGCCAACCATATGCCAATATATTATGCAAAAGAGGATCAGTTACTGGTTGCATAAATAAAAGGGTTGTGTGGATAGACTTCATATTCTAAGTACAGCTAAATATCAAACTAGTGATGTTATAATTCTTGCTGATAAAAATATTCCTTTTAAAGTGCCTGTTTTATGCCCTGAACCCTTTCTTCACTTAACCACAAGTGGTTGACAGCCAAATGTTGGGTAAAATGAATGCATTATTTGTACTTTTAACTTTTCTTGACAAGGAAATAGTAATCATAAGCCTCAATCAAATCTCGTGATTGTTATTTTGTCTTGAGTGATGATAGTGTAAGATTGTTAGATTATGCTGAAGTTGTTCATATTACTAGTTTTCCACTTTCAAAGAATAGTGATCAGCTGTAAAATAGTGATATGATATATGTCTGCTCCCCACCCCCCAATTGCTTGCTTGTTTTTCAAGGGGAGGCCTAGAAGATGGAGACCCAAGGCCTAAAATAGGGGATCATCCCTTCTTCTTCTCCATATCCATCTCCTTCTCCCCTCCCTCTCCTCTTCCTCCTCCCTCTTCTCCATCTCCGTCTCCTTCTCCTCCGTCTCCATCACCATCTCCTCTTCCTCCTCCCTCTTCTCCGTCTCCGTCTCCTTCTCCTCCGTCTCCATCTCCATCTCCGTCTCCTTCTCCTCCATCTCCGTCTCCTTCTCCCCTTCCTCTCTTCCTACTCTTCTTCTTCTTCCTCCCCCCTCTCCTCTTCCTCTTCTCTTCCTCCCCCCTCTTCTCTTCTTCTTCTTCTTCTCCTCCCCCCTCTTCCTCTTCTTCTTCTTCTTCCTCTTCTTCTCTTCCTCCCCCCTCTTCCTCTTCCTCTTCTTCTTCCTCCCCCTTTTCCTCTTCCTCTTCTTCCTCCCCCCTCTTCCTCTCTTCTTCTTCTTCTTCTTCCTCCCCCCTCTTCCTCCTCTCTTCTTCCTCCCCCCTCTCCTCTTCCTCTTCTTCTCTTCCTCCCCCCTCTCCTCTTCTTCCTCCCCCTTTTCCTCTTCCTCTTCTTCCTCCCCCCTCTTCCTCTTCCTCTTCTTCTTCCTCCCCCTTTTCCTCTTCCTCTTCCTCCTCCTCCTCTTCCTCCTCTTCCTCTCCAACGATCTTACACTCCCCCTCCATCTCCGTCTCCTCCTACTCCTGCTTCTCCTCCCTCTCCCTCCATGCTCTTCTTGGCAAAGTTGTCCTCTTTTCATTTGGTCTTTGATGATGTATTACATTTATTGATAATTAATCTCCAGCAAGCTGCCCTGCTGAATTTTGTATAATTTTTTATACAAATTACATTTCAGATTTTCCTTTTATTTATTATTTATTTTTTTTGTTTATTTATATGTTCTGTTATCCTCCCTCCTGTTTATTGTTTACTTTTATGGCCCAAGCTTTTTTTTTTTTTTTTACAAACCTTTGTATCATACCATTAAGCAGCAGAAAGAGGCATTTACCAAAGGGTATGGTGCTTGGAGTCACTTCCTTAAACTTGACTTCCAGGTTTAATGCTGTCTTTCAATTTTATCTTCCCTTGTTCTTGTGTATTATGCAGCTCCAACTAGGTCCATGCATGTACACATGGACAAAACGAGATTTCCCAATTTTCCATTTGAATTTTGTGAACCAATACATACACTTCTTTCCAGTTACCCGAGTATCAGCTGACATAAATAGTTAGTGACACTGAACATACAGATTAAACATTGTTTGCATTCACTAGTAATAACTTCAGCTTCACTTCTCTATAATTCAGGAATTTGATACAAAAAATAGTGAAATTAAACTTTTACACCTAGCTTGTATTTTATAATTTAATATTTTCAAATGTAATGAAGAACAAAACATTTTTTAAAATGGAAAAATAATTGCATAAATTTAAAAAATCAAGTCAGAGCATTAGATAACTTAAAAGACACTCAGAAACTAGACAGCTCCTGCTTCAATAGTGTCAGTGACTGGGTACATTAAATCCACTGATATATATTACAACTCTTTCTGTTCCTTACATATTTGAGGAACTTGCCTAAATAACCGGACATTGTGGCGTTACTTCATATTTTCTTGAGGCATTTTCCTGCAGCCAAAGTTGGGTGTCTTACACATACCATTAATAATTTACTAATGTTATACCAGAAGTTATGAGTGAACTTTTTCAATTATGGTATAATATTTGGAATTAAATGCATTCTAGTAAATGACATAAGCTTGTATGACTTATCATTTCAATTCCAGAGCATCTTTCTTCAGGATATAATAAAAAGGACTGCAAGATGTAAGGTTTTATATAGCTACAGGCATACAAACATTGCACTTCCTTCAAACATAGCTCCATACCTTAATAACTGCAGAATGGGCAAGTATCTTCCAACCACAGAGTATCTTGCACATCTCAGTATAACTCAAAACAACTGAAGGTTGGAGCTAACACAGCAAGCTCTGTGAACTTCCTACAGTCGTTATGCTTTCAAGACTAGACTGCTCGATATCTTTCCCCCCCAACAAGGATTCCTAATCTATACATACTGTTGCAGACCAGACATGATTCGACCATATAAAAATACAAAAGTATGAAAATATGCAACAATGCAGTTCCAAAAACCTATGGTTCTTACAGGATGACACAAGACATCATAATGTTCTTATGCCAGTAATGCTTAAAAAACCTACATAATACAAAATTAAAGTGCATAAATGAAAATATATTCATATATAAATGGGGCAAAATAATAAGATTAAAGCTCATTAATAATCTCTTGATTCATACACACCTAATATAACTATAAGTTGGAAGACTAACAAATAAATATAACTTTTTTTTTCTTGCTTACTGAACACACAAACTGGGCAAAAGCAAAGGGGATCCATCAGACGTTGGCAAACTATTAAAAAATACCTCTACTTGATAAAAGGTTTGTGTCAGTTGCTTAACATATTTATACTGATGTATATTACTCAGCTTCATAACAGTTTAATACATGTTTCATAGCTACAATGCATATCCATTCATGCTTATTTTCTTAAGCTTGGAATTTTTTCCTGACAGTTTTATACAATACCAATATAATTTTTTCTTAGAAACAATTAGTGCCTAGTTTATAAACAATGGCCTTTTCAGTATAAACTATTTCCTATCCTTAAAAAAAAACCTTTGTTTATTTACTCCTTCAATTGCATAATCTAAACTGGATACATAATTGCTCATCCAATAAAAATATATATTCTAAACAACTGCATTAAAATGTAACTCCCACATCCACATACCACAAAATATGTATATGTACAGAGGTATAAAAAAAAGAATAATAATAAAATGACAGCATGTGGAATTACTACCATATTATATTGATTCTGAAAATATTTGTCCAGATGAGGGCTTTGTAATTTCATGTCACATGATGTTCCAGTAATAATAATAAAAAAAAAAAAAAATAAAAATAATAATAATAATAATAATAATAATAAAAAAAAAATACAATATGATTATGTAGTTGTACATATTCTCAATAGTGGAATGAATAAAGATATGAAATGCCTTTATAAAAAAAAATACCTATAAACTTCAAGAGTCAAAACTAAATCCAAAAAGAGCAAATATTTTCTGTCCTTTATCATAAAGAGCAGCATAATACAACTTCCTCAAATACATTAGCTTCCCTGTATCATTAAGCATTAAATAATAAAGAAACAACATCATACTTGAATAGGAATATCAAACTTGACCAAAACTCATTCTCATGGTTACGGATATTATAGTATTTATTTTATTTATCCATCAAATAACAGTCATCAGCTGCCCTAAGAATTACAAACCCTTAGAAACTTTTATTACTGATAAATATGAACAGAAAAGGAGCATTTGTTATTCCACAGTATCAGAAAATAGAACATCTACCGAAGAGCAGAAATCTACCTTAATATTAATGAAATGAGAATTATCTTAGGCTTTTGGAGAGTCAGGCTTTATGGGAAGAGATAAATGAAAACAGAGAAGAAGAGTTGGATGTCATAAATAATTTATCTTTTCTCTAATGCTAATTACAAACTGCATAAATTCATCACCTGCTTAAACTGGAGGCAATTTAAGTAGGCATGAAGGACGGCTGATTAAATTTACTTGGCATAAAATCTAAGTACGGACGTCATGTTCTCAGTCTGAGTCTGGTAACTTTTTATACATTATAGACACATTAATCAGTATCCATCTGGAAAAAATTAAAAAGGAAATGGTTTTATACCTTAAGGGTATGTCTCCAGAATATTAACTAGACAATAAAATATCAACAATTCAATTTTCAACATCCAAGATTCAAGAAGAGTAATGATACTGCAACAGGAAAAAACAATACTAAATACATGAGTTAGTAAACTGCTGCCACAGAAAAGGTTGTCCAAGCATTCTATGACAGGCAATTAGTTTATGACATTGCTCCATTGCTGTCTTGAGTTTGACATTTTTGTTGCTCTTTCATCACATCAGTCTTCTAACATTTTTCAGTAATACACATTACTGAATGCACAAATTGAGTAAGCATTTTCCTTAAGGAAAAGACAACTCCCCTTAAATGAAAAGACAAATGAATATATAACAAAAAAAAATAAAACAAAACAAAAAAAAAATAAAAGAATGAAACCGTCATCATTACACCGGGCTAACTTTCACTAGAGACACAGCAGATCAGACTTGTGCCGTGTCCTCATCACTTCCTCTCGTGGCCATCAGGTAGGAGGCAGCTTTGCTCACGTCCCAAGAGAAGGAGGCCAGCGTATGGCGAGCTACTTCTATGGGCACCCGGTGAACAATCAAGAGAAGCTGGAGATGTACCAGCTTTAGGGCACGATGCACATCCCACTCACATTCATTCAGGGCCACAACACATTCTTCAGGTGAAACTTGCTAAGGTAGAATGAGAAAAACAATAGTTATATACATAGGACATGCAGAGTAACAAAGCTCTTTCTTTTTCAGGAATCAAACTACTGGTAAAGTTATTTCCTACCCAATTATTATTAGGTGACATTTACACATATGTGGATAAAGTATAACATTACATGTAGCAATTGAGGAATATACACAAAGTATAGTCCTGTCATGTACTAGCATAGAATAAAAATAATAACAATGATAATTTCAAACAATGACTAATTTTAAAGTATTGTATGCTATATATCTGTCATCCTATATAGCACCAAAAATGTAAATGACATCTTGACTAGCTGTATATAATGTGCTACATGAAAAACAAAATTTATCCCCTATCATCTCTCTCTGCACAAACCTCATTCTTGAGAACTTTCTGCATGATGTGGACTTCGTCTGACTGAGTGCCTCGGGCGGGTCCCTGTGTCCGCCTCGAGTTGGGTCGGTCCATGGCAAAGTCCAGCAGGTCTTCACAAGACACATGATCCCCAGACTGGTAAAGGGACCCACTGCCGCCTCCTGGTCCCTCCCCAAAGCCATTAGTGGTTACATGAGGGTCAGAAGAGTTAGTGAAGGCATCTGAGTTAGGAAAGGGAGGAGGTAGAGGACCTACAGGAGAGAGACTTTGCTCTTCCTCCTGAATGTCATCCAAGGCATCCATCTCACTGGCCACTTGACTCTCAAAGCTGTCATCCAGGGCTTGCCACGTCCCAAGAGAAGGAGGCCAGCGTATGGCGAGCTACTTCTATGGGCACCCGGTGAACAATCAAGAGAAGCTGGAGATGTACCAGCTTTAGGCACGATGCACATCCCACTCACATTCATTCAGGGCCACAACACATTCTTCAGGTGAAACTTGCTAAGGTAGAATGAGAAAAACAATAGTTATATACATAGGACATGCAGAGTAACAAAGCTCTTTCTTTTTCAGGAATCAAACTACTGGTAAAGTTATTTCCTACCCAATTATTATTAGGTGACATTTACACATATGTGGATAAAGTATAACATTACATGTAGCAATTGAGGAATATACACAAAGTATAGTCCTGTCATGTACTAGCATAGAATAAAAATAATAACAATGATAATTTCAAACAATGACTAATTTTAAAGTATTGTATGCTATATATCTGTCATCCTATATAGCACCAAAAATGTAAATGACATCTTGACTAGCTGTATATAATGTGCTACATGAAAAACAAAATTTATCCCCTATCATCTCTCTCTGCACAAACCTCATTCTTGAGAACTTTCTGCATGATGTGGACTTCGTCTGACTGAGTGCCTCGGGCGGGTCCCTGTGTCCGCCTCGAGTTGGGTCGGTCCATGGCAAAGTCCAGCAGGTCTTCACAAGACACATGATCCCCAGACTGGTAAAGGGACCCACTGCCGCCTCCTGGTCCCTCCCCAAAGCCATTAGTGGTTACATGAGGGTCAGAAGAGTTAGTGAAGGCATCTGAGTTAGGAAAGGGAGGAGGTAGAGGACCTACAGGAGAGAGACTTTGCTCTTCCTCCTGAATGTCATCCAAGGCATCCATCTCACTGGCCACTTGACTCTCAAAGCTGTCATCCAGGGCACTCGTACTTCTGTTACGAAGAATAGGGTGATTGTACAGTCAAAAATGAGTATGGCTCCTATCCTATGTACAAAAACTTGGTTACTTATTAATGCCACTAGCACCACATATCTGTACATGAAACTTCATTCACTCATGAGTGGCACCTACTATATATGATCAAAATGAGTCATGAAAAAAAAAAAAAATCTATGCTGAATATGAATTTGATAACTGTGTATACTAAAATGGATGTGATACAATGTTTGTGTTTCAAACAACACTTGTGGTTATAAATGGACATTTTTTCTATGATATTAATTACAAGACCTTATGAAAGTCTACAGTTTCAAGATATGATACTTATCTTTTTTGTTCATCAATTCTTAATACAATTTCAATATAGAATGACAAACAAACATACTTAATATTATTTCTAAAGCTATCTAACAATCCATTAATGAATATGTTTCTAATACTAAAAATCATATATGTTGTGGCTCATTCAGTCCTTAGAATCTTCAACATTTGTGAAGGTAATTAATTCATTAAAAAAATTAATGAAAAAAAAGAAGGAAAAAAATCCACTCATATTCAGTACTGTACAGCAGTTAACATACATTCAACGCCCTTACAAGTCCTCACTACTCACGTAAATAATCTAGGAGGTTTGGCTGGTGGTAGTCTAGGACCAGAAGGGCTTGTAGCCTCATCGCTAGTAAATCCATCAGCTGGTGACGTAGTTGCCGCAGCTGTGCCATGAGTCTCCAGCAAGGGATTATGGGTATGCTGGATGACCAACCGACCGCCGGTGTGCTCACTTTTGTCACTCACGCTCGCTAACGCTGGCACGTGACCTCCCCCCCGGAGCAGAGAGTTGGTCACGCCACCGGGGATGATGAGTGGGTGTTTTCTCTGGTGGCGGGGTTTAGTAAGGGGTGCAGCTTGTCTTGTTCGATCTCGAGGGGGGAGTGGGAGAGGATTTACTGAGTCTTGATTGCTACCGTCAGTGCTTGTGCTTTCCGGTGTCGTGCTGACTTCCCCGAATTCATTATTAGCGTTATAGGCAGAGTTAGGTATGACTAAGGGAGAAGGTTTTGGTTTTACTGGAGGTGGGACTTTATTATGCTTAAAACCTTTGGGCAATGTCTGGTGTGTTCCAAGGTCAAAATTATTATTTGCCGTGGTCGTTAACCCTTCCCGAACCCCTCCAGACTTCATCCCGTGACTTCTCTCTATTGTGCTGGAGCCTGAGGTAAAGTTGTGTTTGTTGCCCCTAATCTTGGGCCTGACAGTGACCCCGGCTCGAAGCATCCTCAGTGGGTTGTGTTCCGCAGGCTCTGGCTCACACACAGGTGGCTCTGGCTCACTGCGAAAGGCCAAGGGCTCACAGTCCAGGCCTGGTCGCTCCACCAGAGAGTTGTACACTTCTTTGGCCTCCTCTGATATACTTGACTGTGTTGGGGCAAACAGAAAACAAATATGCTAACAAAAACAAAATTAAAGAAAAACACAACGTTAAGCCACTGCATTCCCAGTGGTCTTGTCCAGTTAAATAAAAAGCAGGATATATTTCTACATAATAAACAGCAACACCTACATGAGATGTGGACATGCATAACATGCAGTAGGACTAGTGGACCCTTGCAATTTCACATCAGTTGGAATGGCAAATACACATGAAATCTGCCACAACAGCCATACATCTATTTTTTTTTCCTTTTCTTAGGATCTTTCCTCATGGTTCACAGAACTATTAACTCTGATGGAAAATTATATATTCAACCCTTACATCATATGCAAATCAAGATAATCCTAATGCATGCTTTATCTCAAGAATCATCGTATTATGTTTAAGAGACGAATATGTACAATATGTCATCTGCAGCCATTAGAGATGTAATTATAATTCTGGAAAATTAAAAAATAATTCTTGGGATTCTTCTTTGGACTTTTATATACACATTTCACATTTTACATTACGGAAAATGAGAATGAAGCCCCTGTAAAATCTTACAAATATTACTCAATCATTAATTCTTTTTCACTTATCAAAACACGTGATTATATCTTATTTAGTGTCTTTAGATTTCTATGCGCTTGAGAACAAATTATCAAAAAATGTAACTCACTGAAATTAATTAAGCAAGAAAGTTTTTGACAAAATTAAACAAAGAAATTATTAGTTATATTTTCCTTTATTAACTCGTCTTATGAATTTGACAGCAACTTACAAAACAATTCTCAAGGAAAATGATTGAGACGTCACAAAAGAAAACTTTCCCTTATCAACTGAATAAACTCTATATCCAAATGATAAACAGAATCCATTAAATCCACTTCTGTCGTTGAAATCAAATATTCAAAAGAGAAATCCTTGTGGACATGTAAAGTGCAAAAGGGAAGACAAGAACTCTTGTGATAACATTTTATGTCCCATCTCGTACACATCATCTCTCAAGAAACACATCTCAAAAAGGCCTATAAAATTCAAGTTATAAATGCAGGAGATTCGTACTGAAATTATAAACACTGAGAAGAAAAAATAATCAGTAACATTAAGTATATATATGTATATATATATATATATAACCTGTGTGCACTAAAATAACAGCTGATAGATACACAAGTCCAGTAGATAAAACAAAATGGGACTATTAAACCCACCTCCATTTAGTACATGGATCACTATCAGTAATACCACTACAGAGAAAGAAATATAGTATAGACTCTGCATGCCTGTATATGCACAAAAAAACAAAAAACGAAAAAAGTTGAAGAACAATTTCCTGGGCTAATTTTCCCATAATTAAAAAAAACAAACAAACTCTAAAATACATCATGCAGTTGACAAAACACACAAAAAATCTTTCTACAGCATCTACCATCAAAACGGAACAAAAACACTAATACACAGGTCATGCACTACACAAAATAAAAATCAAGTGGGGGTAAAATACAAGCATTGTTAATTCCAAGTTAAGGTGAAAATGATAATCCACCAACAAATCAAACATTTTCTATGTCTTCATCGATCAACTGCAAAGAAAAGAAAAAAAAAGAAAATCGTGATATAATGTAGGTTGGATGTTAGTAGTATTAGTCAAAATACAATGCAGTCATCCCAATTCAAAGGACTTTTTTTTCTTTTTACAGAACTTAATACTAATTTTGGGTATGTTGGTCTAAATGATACTTCAGTTTCACAAGAGGTGTAAAAATCCAAAATTTGGTAAGGAGATGGAAATTGCATTAAAAAGTATGATATAGACTTTTCATGAAGAGATGATGAGTGAGGGAGACAAGAAGGGAAAGAAGGAAGAGAAGAGAGAGACAGAGAGGCTTAGTGGCTGGCAAAAGATAAGCATGTGTAAAAAGAGAAGATGGGGAAGGGAGGAGGAAAATAGGAAGGAAAGGGAGGGAGGAGGGGAGAGGGGGGAGAGAGAGGAGAAAGGAGAAAAGAGAGGGGAGAGGGGAGAGGGAAGGAGAGAGGAAAGGAGATGGGGAGAGAGATAGGAGAGGGGGAAGAGAGGAGAGGAGAGAGAAAGGGAGGAGAGAGAGAGAAAGGGAAGAGGAGAGAGAGGGAAGAGGAGAGAGAGGGAGGGAGGGAGGGAGGGAGGGAGGGAGGGAGGGAGGGAGAGAGAGAGAGAGAGAGAGAGAGAGAGAGAGAGAGAGAGAGAGAGAGAGAGAGAGAGAGAGAGAGAGAGAGAGAGAGAGAGAGAGAGAGAGAGAGAGAGAGGGAGAGAGAGAGAAGGGGAGAGAGAGAGAAGGGGAGAGAGAGAGAAGGGGAGAGAGAGAAGGGGAGGGGGGAGGGAAGGAGGGAGGGAGGGAGGGGAGGGAGGGAGGGAGGGAGGGAGGGAGAGAGAGAGAGAGAGAGAGAGAGAGAGAGAGAGAGAGAGAGAGAGAGAGAGAGAGAGAGAGAGAGAGAGAGAGAGGAGATAAAGAGGGAGAAGGAGGGGTATAGGGCAGAGGAGGGGGGAGGGCAGGGGGAGAGTGAAAGGGAGAAAGAGGAGTAGTGTATGTGAGGGAGAGAAAGAGAAGGTAAAGTTAAATAGGCGTGAGAGAGAAAAATGTACTTGCCAATTTGAGAGCTATGATAATGTATTTTGTTGAGGGAAAATATCACCCAGTTTAAACCTTGTCTAAGTCAATGTAACATCACAGGATACTTTTTAATGCAAAGAAATGGTAATGGGTGTACTCAAATCAACCTTAAAACATACAAAGTAAATCTGGACACCTGTATGCCCAATTACTTCTCATAGATAGTTTGCTGAGCAAGCACAGCCTATTAGGAAGTAAGAAGTCCTGGTTCTCTCTTTTACATGCAAGTCTAATCCAATTATGCTCTTCCTTCCAATACTACAATGCATCTCTATCAGCTTCTTGCATCAGCTTACCTCCTCCTCTGGCAGGCTCTCATTCCCAGGTAATATCTATGATATGACTAACTAATGCTAAGATATGTAATACTAAATGCACACTACAAAATCAGGAAGAGATGGAAGATAGGGACAGTTACAACGGACAGATGACAATAAGAAATATGAAGTGTTCCTGGTGAGAAAGGGACAGGGATTCTGAGCTAATATGGAAAGAAATAACATATACATCTCATCCTCCATTTGGAATGTTACAAGATGCGAAGCCTTTTTCATCAGATTGTATGTGAAGACGAGTATTGATACTGATACTGATACTGAACAACTACATCCAAGAAACCCCACACTGACATGCTCATCTTATTTCAACTGCTCATCATCCCTGGCAGCAAACCTCAGAGAAAGTGAGAAAGAGGAATCAATGAAGAAATGCTGAGGTAATGATGACCCAGTTCACAAAAGGGTGAAAGCAAGATCACTCAAGGACGGAAGAAAGTCTGAAAGGAAGTGGCGATCTGCCCCTGAGGAGCTGAAGAGCTTGATGACTGGAAGAATTCGTTTAGTGATGATGGTCAAAAACCTCATTAAGGACAAGAGTTTAAGGACAGGCAAACACTTACCTTACCTTCCCAGCAACTCAATCACACTATATCTTATTCAATAGTATGCAAATGCAGAATACAAATCAAGTGAATTCTTTGTCTATGAACAAAAAACTTACCTGAATATCTGGTATAGATGCAGCTTCAGCACTAAAGTGACGTCTCTCTGGCTTTGGACTTCCCTTGCAATGGAATCTAAGAGAAGAAACAAAATACTCATAAACAAATCATATCAAAGGAAAATACATACATACACATTTTCACATTTATATAGTAAAAAATCTACATTAAGAAACAAATATATAATCATTTTAATATTATTAAATATTAAAAGCAGACTTTCATAATGCATCATGCAAAAGGTACAAATCATCAAATTCAGTTTCTTCTTCTGATATCCTTCTGACATGTTTCACAGTGCCTTCTGTATTTGATACCATTCTGTCAATACATTTAGTACGGTTCTTCATATATATGTATATATATATATACATATATATATACCCCCCAAATTTCAGCCTACAGCAAAATCCAATATCCCTTGAAAACTCATAATTTCCATCAATAAACTGAACTTGCACCAATAAACACACTAAATTTTTCCATGAAAACTACATCAAATAGCATCTATCATTTCCGTAAAAAAATAAAAACACTGTAGACACACATGCACATAAATACTCACACAGAGAGACACAGGCACAAACATACACTCTTTGCCAATGTTCTCTAGTTCATGATACTTATATTTATATATGGGAATCAAGGCACTACTTATACCCCTTGTTGCTAACAGTATATTTCCTAGTGCCCCTTTCAAGTTCCTTCCCTACACATAATATGAACTCCTATCACTCACTTGAAGGAAAAGCGAGACCCTCCCTGTTTACTGGGAGATGACGGGGTGATGGGGGAGTCCGGGACACCGTCAGAGTCCGCCGAACTTTCCAAATTACGGTCTAATTCCAGTATACTTTTGGAGGCAAGTGCATTAGCCATGGCTATTGCAGAGTCTAAGGTACGCTGATCTGCAGCCGAGATTGGCTTCACCTGTAGGAATGATTAAGCTTCAATAGATTCAGAAGAAGAAAGATAATTAGGCTGTTAAAACAATCATGTCTTTATTAGTATCAGTGAGCTCTTAAAGGCAAATAAAACAAACTCATGCTATTATACTGGACAAGGATTGACATATGGTAACACTTCCATAACAGCTTCAGAAAATGAACAAATAACATTCCATTTCCTTAAGATTTTTATCCATAGCAAAAAAAAACAAAAACAAACATATTACAGCAGAAACACTTATCAGTTCCTTACTCTATAGAGCATTCATATATTTAATGTTGAAATCTAAACATGAAAAGCTGACTTTTATATGAAGTTTATAACAAATGAGTCATATGTGAAAGGTTTTCTAGCTATTGTCACAAGTTATAACTACATGTAAAAACTAGCATATGACTTTTTTTCTGATAAATGGTAGATATCATAAGGTACTTGCAAGTCAAAATATTTTAAATGATTACCATCACATAGGGACATTTGTTCTTCTTCCTGTTTCAATCCAAAACCTTCCAAACAACACAAACAAAGGATCTCACACTGACATTCATGCAGGGACACAATAACATATAACATAAAAAGAGGTTCATCAAAATGTAACAAGGAACAAGGCACATCTTACAGGCCAACAAGTATGTGGATCTATCTTCCTGAACAAATTCCAAACACAATGATACATACCATAGCCTGCTTCTTTTTGGAGCATTCCTTGTTCGAGAACTTAGTAGTCATCTCCTTGATTTCATTCTTAACATTATGGTTCTCGTTGTCCTCTAGAAGAGCCTGTGACTGCTGTGTGGGTGTCAGGGGGGGGAGTGAGCCGGGGGCATCCAGAGAAGAGGGGCCAGAGGATGCAGAGCCACCAAGGGCCTTGAATACCTCGTCCATCAGGCTTGGGCCCAAGTCGAAGGAGCTGCTCCGGAACGGCTATGAAAAGAGAGTGAACTGTTGTAGAGAAATAACTGCGTGAGGGACTTGTCCCAAATATTGATATGAGTAGTACTGATACACATCACATGCACTTTAAAATGTTCTTAGCCACAGAAAAACATGATACAGATTAAGGTCCATAAAAGAAAAAATTACAAATGCCGTCTCCATTTCCACAAACCTTCCCTACCTCCACTTTGGGCAAAGGCTCATCCTCGTCAGAGATCTCGTGGTACTCATGGTCTGACTGCCGTGTGCGAGCTGGACTGTCTGGCTGGTCCTCACTGGCTGTGTCCGACCAGTTGTGCTCAGCTGCCGGGCCAGACTTACCCTTGTCGCCAACCTGTCATGGACATTATGGATTACAAAGAAACCAGAATATAATGTCATTCCATACAGAATTTCATGAGGATTCTTTTCCCTGTACAGTACATTAATGTTTGGAGTTGGTGATTTGTACACTGTATAAAAAGCCACCAAGGATAAAAAAAACCCACTAAATTCTACCTTCTTTAGTAATGGCGCTCTGTCTGAAACGTCGGAGCTTGCACGGGTCAGCGACGTAGACTGATCGTGGTCATCCGATGGCTTGTATGGGGTTACAATCTGCTTCGGCAACTGATGATACTGTTCAGGGAAGGATAATAAGTAGAAGATAAGTAAAAAATATCATAAATGTGCAATCCTGACTTGATACTGTAATTTACTTTCACCTATGTTCACTAATGATACTTGATGTGTCAAAGTTCATTCCATTGTTTCAGAAACTAGTAAACTGCAGGTCTAGCAAATGAAGAGTATTGAAAGCACAAACTACAAGCACTGCAACATAGCTGCCAAAACTCTGAAGGAATAACAAATCAAAAAGCAATTTAATTTCTGTAACAAAAATGAGAAAATTATAGCAGAATATAGCAACTAATTGACAAAATAAAAACAAACAAAAAACAAAACAATAAGAAAACTATTTGTACTTTAAATCATGCCTGCCACTGAAAACAGAAGCTAAACATAAGCTGCTTAATAAACCAACAATAAACTCATACAGCATCAAAAAGTAAAAATCAAAGGAAATACATGCACTACGACGCATCATCAATGAGAAGGAGGATCCCACGTAGAACAAAAAATGCAATACAGTACAAGACTTTTTCCAAGCCTCCTACGCTTTCCGCTCAAAAAGGTTAGTTCGCTCATCAGCAGCATGCTCCTCATAACCACCAACTAGTGATAAAACCAAATCTAATGACTGTCCCATTGACTCTCAGTAACTAACTCAATTGAAAATTTAAATCTGCCTCATCTTAGAAAAACTGTTGTGGTATCTACATGAAGTTTCGTCATGCTTTCCATTCCAAGAGGATGCATGGCCTAGTTATTTAGGAATAGGAAATGTATTTTGGATGTAAGAATATGTCTCTCCAACTATCCTTTGCTCTACCATCCACATTCTTAACATTTCCATTCTGAGCTTGAAGTATCATAAGAAATTTTCCATTCAAATATCAATATATATGTTCCAAATAAATGCAAAGAATTCTGTATTACCCAGACTAGACTTTGATGTAGGTGTCCACAAAGAATAAGAATGATTAATCTGCTCATTATAAAATTACCCTGCTCTCTTTGCTCTTGGCCACGGATTATGATTCTTTAAGTAATATGGCTAAAAAGAGGCTTTAAGCCTACTTTTGAGGGGCTGTTTCTCCTCAGTGACCACAGCACTACTGCTTAGTGTGTACAACTTGGAGCAGACAGCTGATGTGAAGTCATCCTAACATGAATGGGCTGAAGTCCCATTTAAGATTTTAGGAAGGACGCTCTATCTTTGTCTGAAATATATTTCCTATTATAATAAGTTTCACTATAATAAGTTCTGTTACTGAGAATCCTGAGAGCAAAAGCTTTGCTTCTATTGTTAATTCAAAAATTAATAAAAGACAAAAGATACCCATATCATACCCATAGCCATTTCCCAATCTGTGATACAGGGACACTAGCCTAATTAAAAACAAAACACACTTTGACCTTATCAAGCTTTTTTTGAACAAATCTCCCAGCCTGGACCTTATCTCCGAGGAAGGAGACATCACCAAAGTATGCCCCGTCCAGTCCTACGTGTCCGGTGTGCTTGAAATCTCCTTGAGGCCCAGATATCATCTCTGGCCTCAGCCGGCGTCGCGAAGAGTAAGGGTTTTTGCCATCTGCAGGTTGGAGCACACACAGGTAGATGAAAATTCCAAAAATTCATTGTGAATATCTATGCAAAACAACAGTATCATAAATTTAATTGCTCAAAAATTATGGTCACACTACCTCCTCTCTGGAAAGATGACTTATTGGAAGGAATGTTCGTGCCCAAGTAAGTGACAGTGTTGGCAGGGTTAAAGAGTCCCGTCTTCCCTGTATTCAGCACCCCTTTCCATACTCCTGGGTTGTCTGTCACGGGTCTAGAAGAGAGCAAGAGACAGTATTAGAACCACATCTGAAGATTAAGATGAAAAGAAGTGAAAAATAATCTTACACAAGATGTCAACATGATGCTTTTTCATATAGAACTTTGAGAAGGTTAATACATATATTTTATCATCACTGCCATTAGCGAAACACCTTTCACATACATCCAAAAGTTACAAAATTCTAAATAAAGAGAAAACATAGCCCCTATCCGTATATCATTACACTAACAAAGAATGACCAAATATAAATTCATAATTATAGGCCAACCTTTTATCTAAGACAGTGATGACATCTCCAACAGAGTACTGCAGTCGGTCCCTCTTGCCTCCAGGTGTGGTCGGAGGGTCCTCACAATCCCGCACTACCTGGACTTGCTCTGGCTTGCACTGGAAGGAGTCACTCGTTTTAATATCTTTGTCATAAAATAGGCACTCATAGTCATGCCTGTATATGAATAAAAGTAATGATAATACAATTTTGGATAAACAAACATATTCTAAAGTCTTAGGGTTTAATCTGATTTCTGCTTTTGATTTCAGGTCCACTTACATCAGGCAAGATGTCCATAAGATCTGCAAACTTGGGTCTCTTTGCAGGGTCATGTTGCCAGCACTTGAGCATTATGGTGTAATATTCTTTGGGACAAGCTTCAGGTTGTTCAAGACGCTGGAAAGGAAGGAAATTTAAATGTAAACTGAACACCCATATGCATCTACAAAAGAAATGAGTACAAGGCCATAAATCACCACTCATATCATTTCCTTTCATTACCTACACTCCTAATACATACTTGGAAGTTTGGCTCGTCAATAGCTTCTAGTATCTGCTGTCCTGTAAGTGCAGCCCAGGGCTGGAAGCCATAGCTGAACATTTCCCACAGAGTTACTCCAAAGGCCCACACGTCCGAGGCAGATGTGAATCTTAAGTAATTTATACATTCTGGAGCACACCTGAGAATGAGTTTTTGCAGTTAAGTAACAACAAAGGAAAATATACAAGTAATGAATGAACTTCCAGAAAGTGATTTGGGCTACAAGTCACTGAAGGTTAAAGTCCAAATATCTGCTGCCCGACAACAATATTTTTCACAGTACAGATAGTCCCCTATTTAAGAACATTCTACTTATGAACATTCCATACATACAAACAAATTTTTTTAAGTACTAAAGTCCAAAAAATTGTTTGAAAGATGCTAGCAAACTTCAAATTTCCCGGGCACGAATATAGCTCAAGAGTCTGGTACTGTATGAGGTATGTCGTACTTATTGGGATTTATTTACAGGTATTCTTAATGTAAACAAAACTTTAAAACAACGGGAAAAAGGTAATGGAGACCCGACTTTCGACATACAAACAAATCAACTTACAAATAGCCTCTCGGTCCCTCTTATGTTCTTAAGTTGGGGACTTACTGTATATCATCACAAATAAAAGGTATATCCTTAATCCATCAAACAAAAATCAATTTCACAATAGACCAAACACTTACCATGCAATTGGGAGTTTCAAATTAACATTAAAATTTGTTTGGTAATAATCTTTTCCAACACCTAAAGCTCTTGATAGACCAAAGTCTGATATCTTGATCTTGTTTTTGGAAAACACCAAGATATTTCTTGCAGCTAAATCTCTGTAAGAAAAGAGACATTTATAAACTAACTTGAAAAGCTATGGAAAGATTTCCATCTCAGACGAAAACCAGATCTTAACAGATATCTGATATACATGTATCTGATATTAGTTATACAAGTAATTATTCCATAAGAAAAGAAGAAGAAGAAGAAGAAGAAGAAGAAGAAGAAGAAGAAGAAGAAGAAGAAAGAAAAAAAGAAAAAAAGAAAAAAGAAAAAAAAGAAAAAGGAAAAAAAAAAAGAAAAAAGAGAGAGATAAAATTATCTATCTATCTATCTATCTATATATATACACTTCAATAAACAATGCCATCAGCACACACAACAGAAACCATCAGACACAACCGAGCACCAGCCACGTTACCTGTGAATAAGTCTCTTGCCCTCAAGGTATGACATGCCATCGCAAATCTGTATGGAGAAGTGGCAGAGTGACGTGACGGGGAAACTCACTCTCAGTGAGGGTTCCTTGATGCACTCGAGCAGAGACCGAAGAGGAGCCAGTTCTGTTACCTGCGGCACAAGGAACATGATGATGATATAGTCTGTGCTTTCAGTCGTATTTTGCAACTGTTGTAAATTGTACAGGTAGCTCACAAACATTTCCTTACACATTGTATAGCAAGAACGGGCTGAACAAATACTGGTACTTGAAAAAATAAGCAAATAATAAAAAAGTACACTTTCAAGTAAAAAAAAAATAATAATAATAATCTTTCTTTAACACAAAACTGAAGTCTTTTTGCATACCAGCATTTCTTCAACACGAAAGTACCTCCCTTCCCCACATACATACCAGCATTAGGGCATTTGTGTCCAGCACAACACCATACAGTCTCACAATATGCTCGGAGTCTATGGTATGCATGATGGCTGCCTCCTTCAGGAACTCCATCGGCTGGGTCTGCATCCTCTCCTTACTGAGGCATTTAATAGCTACCTGAATCTATAATAACAATAATAACGATAATATTAATAATGATAATAATAATAATAATAATAATAATAATAATAATAATAATTATAATAATAATAATAACAACAACAATAACACGCATCCACTCACCCTCTCGCCCTCCTCGTTGGTCCAGACGCCCTGCTGCACCACCCCGAACTCGCCCACGCCCAGCTCCTTGTTGATGACGATCGCGTCCGCGGGGATGATGTGCTTGCTGGGGACGCGCACGCTGGGCCGGTCGCCCGCCTCGTCGGGCACGACCACCTCGTGGCTGTCCTGGCCGTCCTTCCTCGCTAAGAGGATCTGGGCAAGGGAAGGGAAGGGAAGGGAAGGGAAGGGAAGGGAAGGGAAGGGAAGGGAAGGGAAGGGAAGGGAAGGGAAGGGAAGGGAAGGGAAGGGAAGGGAAGGGAAGGGAAGGGAAGGGAAGGGAAGGGAAGGGAAGGGAAGGGAAGGGAAGGGGAGGGAAGGGAAGGGAAGGGAAGGGAAGGAAGGAACGAAGGAAGGGAAGGCGAGAGAAAGAAAGGAAGGGAGGGAGGGAGGGCGAGGGAAAGAGAGGAAGGGAGGGAGGGAGGGCGATTGAAAGGAAGGGATTGAAGGCGAGAGAAAGAAAGGAAGGGAGGGAGGGAGGGAGGGCGAAAGGGAGGGAAAGGAAGGGAGGGAGGGAAGGAGGGAGAAAAAAGGTTGTTAATTATTGTTGGGTTTTCTTTTCTTTTTTTCAGTGGATATGTGGGATGGCTATCGAATCATCAATTGCATTTTTTAAGTATATACCAACTGGTGAATACGTTTTTTTCTTTAATTATGTACTGACGCGTGAAGTTTTCTTTCATTGTGAACTCATGTGCCAACACAAAGTTTTTATTTTTTTTTAGTTATGCATTAACGGGATGAATATGCATTTTTCTTCAAAGACTAAACTTTAAAAAAAATACACACACAAGACAAACCAACACCTCAAAAAAACGCACCTTCTTGAATTTGGAAAGATAAGTCTGCGGACAGTACTTATGGAAGTACTTTTTGAGTCTGCGCACCTCGGGTCGGGACATGCCCATGGCCTGCAAGTCCTCGTCGGCCACGAATTTAAGCTGACCGACATTTTGCACCTGCGGGGCGAAGGGGTTGTGGCAATGGGAATGGGAATGAGGAGGGAATGCAATGCCTAGTGCAGGAAAGAATCTCAAAGAATGTACACATGAACACACACACACACACACACACACACACACACACACACACACACACACACACACACACACACACACACACACACACACACACACATATATATATATATATATATATATATATATATATATATATATATATATATATATATATAATATATAATATATACATATATATGCATATATATACATAAATATATATACATACACTCACACACACACACATATACATATATATGTATATATCACATTGCATAAGTATCAGTCCCACAGGAGCGCACCTTGAGGTCATTCTTAAAGTTATTGTAGTAGTGCTGGAGTTCGGCCTCCGTGAGGAACTCGTAGAGGCCGGGTCCCCTCGGCACGGTCGTCATCGCGGCGGCGGCGGCGGCGGCGGAGCACGTGGCGGCGGCGGCAGCGCACTGCGGGGAGGCTGCGGGCGCCGCTCGTCGCTGCTGCGGCGTCCCTTACGGCGTGGCTGTGGTGGCGTGGTCCGGCAGGAGTTACCACCCTCTCCTTCTGCTACCTCATCACCATCTCACTGCTTCTGGAAGCACGAGGCATTCGAATTAATAACAGGGAGAAAATAGAGAAACAAACTAAATGAAGCACAAAAAATGTACTTAGATATTTCTTGTCCCTTCATTATGTGTATGTAAGGATGCTCGTTCGTCTCATACGCACGTCCCCCTTCAAAGCCTCCCTCCTCCCCTTCCCCTTCCCCTTCTCTCTCTTTTCATCTCTTCCCCATCCTTTTCCTCCCTCTCCATCCCTCCCCTTCCCTCCCCCTCATTCCCACTCTTTCCCTCCCCCCTCCAACGCCATAAAAATTCCCCTCCTCCCTGCCCTGCCCCCCCTTCCCTGCCTGCCTGTCCCCTCGCCGTCATCCCGCAAAGTGGCAGAGTGACGAGCTTGCAACAAGTGCCGCTGTTCATTTCCCTGAAAGCGCCGAGGGGCTGCCGGCCGACCCCTCCAGTGACGCGGCTGCAGGCGACGCCAGAGATTTATACGCCCTCGTGCGCCGCCATTATGTAAATATAAATATCAATACATATACACATGTATACATACAAACATACATGTTTATATATATATATATATATATATATATATATATATATATATATATATATATATATATATATATATATATATATATATATATATATGCATCTAAAAACGGGAAAGAAGAAGTAAGAAAAGTAAACCAAGAGCAGCGAAGGGCGTCCAGAGGCTCAACGTCCGAGGTCCCGTTACTCCCCGCGCGACGCCCTCGGCCGCCCGCGCGCTCCCGAACCCGCGCGTCCGGCCGGTCAGCCTGCACGCGCGCGGGCGAGGGGGGGGGGGGGGGCGCACGAGTAATTCAGACTTCTATTGAGGGTCCGTGTACCTGTGCTCAGATCCTTTTAATAAAGTGACTTACATTATTTACGTCAACTGGATGACTATAAATCGCTGTATTTCCAGCGATTTCTTTCTTTTGTAAATGCATAAACACAAACACACACACATATACAGACATCCCAATTAAATATGTGTTCCCATCCACAAAGAGGTATAACTAATACAAATAACTAAATTTCCCCATTGTAATCCACGTAAAGACCCACAACGATCCACGCAAATCTAAATCGTGATTTTTTTCCCTCTATTCTAAAAGACTGCCCTTTGAAACCTCTGGCATGAAAGGTTACTAGACTCGACGATCTTCCTTTGTAAATAAGGGAAATGTACGCAAACAATTAACAGTAAACTTATTCATACATAAAAAAGGCATATGCATTTGGAAATGTACACACTGGGTAACGTCTGCACATACAACAGACTCAGCCTCAAGGAGCATCCATCTGTGTCTGGAGAGAGAGAGAGAGAGAGAGAGAGAGAGAGAGAGAGAGAGAGAGAGAGAGAGAGAGAGAGAGAGAGAGAGAGAGAGAGAGAGAGAGAGAGAGAGAGAGAGAAACAAGTGTTTCCGAGGCGGGCGCTGCGGTCCCCTCCCGCAGGTCTCCAGCAGGTGACCTGAACACGTTCTGTTTTCCCAGGTAATTACCGGCGGCGCGTCCAGCATCCAGGCCGCGCCACTTCACCGCGACTGGCCTAGCGACTGGCCTAGCGACTGGCCTAGCGACTGGCCGAAGCGACTGGCCGAAGCGACTGGCCGAAGCGACTGGCCGAAGCGACTGGCCGAAGCGACTGGCCGAAGCGACTGGCCGAATTCTACGCCGATAGTACATTCTAGGCGAAGGAAATTCCCAGAGACATATCGACTCGGACTGCCATCACTGGAAACACGAGCGCCAAAAAACAAAATAAAACAACAACATCTCAGAAGGCCTGAAGCCGCCAACAAGCAAAACCATGTTTGCGAACGGCCGTAAACAAGATAACTATCTCTGTAGTGAAGAAGACACAATATCCCTAGGGGGTCTCCATCCCTCCTCCCTTCCCTCCTCCCCCTTCTCTCCCCTTCTCCTTCCCCGTCCCAGTCCCCCTCCCGCTTCTTCTCCTCCTCCTCCTCCTCTCCTCTCCTCTCCTCTCCTCCCCCCCTCCCTTTCCTCTCCTCTCCTCTCCCCCTCCCTTTCCTCTCCTCTCCTCCTCCTCCTCCTCCTCTCCTCTCCCCCTCCCTTCTCCTCTCCTCTCCCCCTCCCTTCTCCTCTCCTCTTCTCCTCCTTTCCCCTCTCCTCACCTCTCCTTCCCTTCTCCTCTCCTCTCCTCTCCCCTCTCCCTCCCTTCTCCTCTCCTCTCCCCTCTCCCTCCTCTCCTCTCCCCCTCGCTTCTCCTCTCCTCTCCCTCTCCCTCCCTTCTCCTCTCCTCCTCCTCCTCTCCCCCTCCCTTTCCTCTCCTCTCCTCTCCCTCTCCCTCCCTTCTCCTCTCCTCTCCTCTCCCCCTCCCTTCTCCTCTCCTCTCCCCCTCCCTTCTCCTCTCCTCTCCTCCTCCTCTCCTCTCCCCCTCCTTTCCCCTCTCCTCACCTCTCCCTTCCCTTTTCCTCTCCTCTCCCCTCCCCCTCCCTTTCCCCCCGAGTGACCGGTGATCTAGAACGTTCTCCATCAGCTTATTCGTGCGTTTGTGTACTCTACGCTTTTTGTCAGACAAATATGCATAATAGTACATGTAATAAATAAATCGATAAAACAAACAGAATAATAAATAAATAAATTAATAAAATCAAATACATCATATAAATCTATCTATATCTCTCACTTCAAACACATATGGACAGACATTCAGAGGCTTTGGCACCGGACAGCTGATCGCCGGGCGGAGTACGCAAGGCAGGGCGCAAGGGACAAGGCCTATGCAAGTACGAGGTCTCTATAAGTAAAAGGCCGATATAAGGTTTTTATAAGGACAAGGACTTTTTCCCTCCATATTACCCGCGAGAATCATTAATATTACTCTGTCTGTTCGCCTGTCTGTCTATCTGCTCGTTTCTCTGTTTGTCTGTTTGCCCGATTATTTTTGTCTCTCTGTTTGTAGGCCTGTCTGTCTGTCTATCTGTTCCCGCCGGCGATAACCTGACGATCGGCCATAACCGGGTCAAGTCAGCCTATAAACCGCGCCATAGAACCACCATACAACCACTGTATAATCACTGTATAATGGCCATAGTCTCGCCGTTTCGCAATCGGAGTGGCCCGGCGCACACGACCCGCGCTATTAGGACCTCCCTACAGCAGCGGCGGCGGCTCCGTGAGCCTTATCAGCCAAACCACAAACCACTCGCCTCGAACCACTAACCACAAACGACCACTCC